GTATATGCTGTCAATTATAGTTCTTAGAAAGAAAATCGGAATCGGCAAAAATCAGTATCGGCAGATCACACTAACCAAAAATCAGAAATAGCCAAGAAAATTGCAATCGGTGCATCTCTATATAGAACTCATTATAATCAGTGATGCTGTCTACACTGGATGCGGTGTGGCGCGGTGCAGTGTGACACGATAAATCCCCCACAGAAAACTGCTGCTGCGTTTTATTTATGAAGTATTGACACAAATTTCAAGTGATTTTCAACAGTCGCTTTGTCGCGTCCAGTGTTGACAGACTTTAGCTGTTGCGGCGCGACAACTGTCGCGTCCGGTGTATACACGGTGTAAGTCTGCATTTATTTTTATCAAGAATACAGAGAAAATAGTAATATTGCAAAATATAATTACACATTAAAAGAACTGTTGTCTATTTTAATATCTGTTAAACTGTAATGTATTTCTGTGATGCGCAGCTGTATTTTCAGCATCATTACTCCAGTCTTCAGTGTCACATGATCTTCAGAAATCAGTATAATATGCTGATTTGCTCGAGAAACATTTCTGATTATTAAAACAGATAAAAGATTTTTTCAGGATTCTTTGATGAATAGAAAGTACAATTAACAACATTTATTAAATTTATTAAACAATTTAGTAAATATACATTTTTTCCAACAATATAAATGTTACCACAAATGTTTGAATGGTATTGTTTCGATAAAAATGTTTAGCAGCAAAAACTGTTTTCAACATTGATAATAATCAGAAATGTGATTAATGTAATAATCTGAAGATCATGTGACACTGAATTGATTGAACTGATGATTACAGTTTAACAGATATTCACATAGAAAAGAAGTATTTTAAATTATAATACTATTTTACAATATTTCTGTTTTTACTGTATTTTTAATCAAATAAATGCAGTAGTGGTGAGCAGAGGACTTACATAAAAAAACGTAAAAAAAAAACATAAAAAAAGTCATACCAACCTCTAACTTTTGAACACTACTTATGGGGACACACCTTTCCCAACATCCAATCGACATGAAAGTCATGTCAAAAATTTTCATTTGATCTACAAAAGACAAATCATGCTTCAAAAAAACAATTTATCTTTCACAACACACAGATATTAAATATGTGACATTTCACAGGTTTACGGGGTCCAGGCCAACTTGTGGTTTGTGAGGACACCTGGTTTATGAGGTCACTTTACACACAACACACAAACCTAGCCTCATCCTGGTTTAAGGGGACTGACAAACATTACAAGGTCTACATAACATCAGTTTGCTCTGCTATTGAAAGAAGGGTCTTCATGACAATAGCACAGCTCCTGGCTTTCCCCAGCTAAACCCCTGCTTAAACCAGTTCAATTATTAAAAAAATAATAATAATACATTTCACAAGCGGTCAAAGGTTTTCATTGCTTTTTAAACAAGTCTCTTCTGCTCACCGAGGCTGCAGTAAGTTATTATTATTATTATTATAAGCACTATTATTTCAATTTAAAATTGTTTATGTGCATGTTTTGTAAAATGTAATTTATTGCTGTTATTGAAGCCGAATTTTCAGCATTTTCTTGAAATAAAATCGTTTGTAACATAAATGCCTTTACTGTCACAATTTGAATAAAAGTATTTATTAAAAACCTTTTTTTAAATGGTACTTTTGAATAGTAATATATTATGGTTTCCACAAAAAATATGACGATTGGAGTAATGATGCTGAAAATTCAATCATAGGAATAAATTATAATTTAAAATATATTCACATAAAAAAGTTATTATAAATTGAAAATATTTCACAATATTAGTTTTTATTGTATTTTTGACAATTCAATTAATTCAATTTGACAATTATGCAAATATGATAATCTTGGATATTTGACAAAATGTACATAATTTAAATAAACTATCACTGAACAGAATTTTAAATGGATCAGCAGGCAGTTTCAAAAGTCAAAATACATTTGCAGATATTTCAAAATGTATTTAAAGTACCAAGAGATGTTGAATGCTAGACATACTGAAAAATCAGGCTATGAACTGAAAAAGTCTAGTGCTTTAAATAATTTGTAATATACAAATATGAAAGGTTAGGGAAAACATTAGGGCTGCCCTCGACTAAAGATTTTTCTGGTCGACCAGTAGTCGTTTATGTTAAGCGGTTAGTCGACTAATCGCACATTTATATTAATAAGCCATAAATCATAGTAATGAGCGTTTAACTGCCTATGTAGCGCACCTATAAGGTTTGCCACACAGCGCACTGGCATAAGTAATGATTATGAATGCATCAGGAAAAAAAAAGCAAGGAGACAGCCTTAACATTTTAACAATTCGTTGATAAACCAATGTTTGCTGTATTTTCGGCTGCAGTGATAAATTGACGATGTCCTCAGTGGATGCGCCTATATTAATGTTTCATACAGATCACATCACCTGAGAATAGCTGTTTTCCATCTGAATTGGTTCTATTAAAATAAGACATCTCACTTTCTATAGATAGGCCTATATTTATGCCCGAGGCAAGTATATACAGAGTTTCGTTTTATTATTTGACGCGCTCAAGTTCAAAGACCGTGATGAGACGGCAGTTTGCTTTCATTATTTCACAAAATCACGTTTTTTTTTTTGTTAATGTGACTGCACACAAATAAAAGAAGTCTTTCAAGCTTACAAATATGTAAAATGTTAAGTGTAAGTGATCACACCGGCGCACGCTTCCTCATTCCGCACAAACACTGAAATAGCGCACATTTTTATAGGTTAACGTTTGAGCGAGCGGCCATGTGAAATTGCTTCTACATGTTTCAGATGATAATCCATATTTGAGGTCGATGAATGATAGGCGAGCGTTTGGATGCCCTGGCCGATGTCCTGTATATTACCGCATAGAGCAGCTGTTAACGATTTTTCGTCGTAGAATGCATGACTTCGCCACTTCCTGTGGATTTTTTTTTTCTGCGACTAAGCGACTAAAAAAAAATGTGGTCGACTAAGCCTTTTCTCGTCGACTATAAGGGGGGGCAGCCCTAGAAAACATGCAATACTTTTAAATAGGAGAGTAAACTACCAGTAGGTGGTATGAGTGAGCATTTGAGTCATTAGTTCAACAGATTAATTCAGACGACTGATTCATTCAAGAACAAAGGCAAGTGCCTGTCTTTATGAATGGATCACTGAATCATTGAATCGAATGATTCATTCAAAAATGCTGAATCATTCAGTTATGAAACAGCCATATGTTGCTCAGAGATGCGTGACTGTTCTACCATGATCTTTTAAAAAAAAACTAATTTAAAATGTATTCTATTTAAAAATGTAAGTCACTTATTGCAACTATTCGTTTATTGAATTAATAAAATCAATGTCAAATCTGCAATCGGGCTGATATTCGGGAAACAACACTTTACTGGTTGTCTCATGTTGCTTAAATAGGCTATATCATAAACTATAAATGTAAAAACTCACATTTTTACTGCAGTGTTTGTTGTTTCTTTGTGCTCATTTGTTCTGATTTCTCCTCAGGACAAATGGTGTGACTGTTAGTCAATACATTATTCATGATCAACTGAGGCAGTTCAGGTGTTTGTATTTCTGTATTTTTTTCTTTCTTTTTTAAATTGCTGATGTTTTTTTTTCTTGGTGTTTAACAAAACCTTAAAACCATAAAATAAAATAATAATAAACAATTCAACAGTATTAGTAGGAGAGTAAAAAGCATGTTTAATAAAAATTTCATCTTTTTGAATGGGTAAAAAAAAAAAACATTGTCACTCAGTGACAGGAATTAAAAAAAACGTTACTTTTAAAAACAATAACTATTTTCAGAACATTGTCACTCAATGACACAAAATGTTACTTGTAAAAACAGCAAGATTACATTCTAGTGCGGTCAAGAGATTAATCACTATTAATCGCATCCAAAATAAGTTTTTGTTTACATAATATGAGTGTGTACTGTGTATATTTATTATGTATATATATATATATATAAATACAAACACATGCATGTATATATTTAAGAAAAATATGTTATGCTTATATATTATATTTATATATAATATAAAATGTAATAATATAAATATATATGCATGTAAATATTTTCAAAATATATACTGTATCTGTGTGTATTTATATATACATAATAAATAAACAGCATACATGCATATAGTATGTAACCAAAACTTATTTTGGATGTGATTAATCGCGATTAATCGTTTGACAGCACTATTACATTCAGAACATTGTCACTTAGTGACGGCAATTACAAAATTTTACTTCTAAAAATGTCATTAAAGTAATTTAATTAGTCATTAATTCAACTCCATGCGCTTAAAGGTAAGCCCTCGGTTCCTAACAAAGTCTCTGATATTTTGGACTGTCCGGTTTTGTAGGACTGGATGCTCGCACCTTTTGCAGACCTCACATTCTCCTATTGACGCCAAGTGACCTTTAGTGATGTGAGATCTGAAGTGTCGCATTACAGCGTTCACCTCAGCTTTTGTCCATGGTCTTTTTGGTGTCCGCTTTCCTCTGCTAGAGACTGAAAACAAGATAAATTGTTAGCATTACTGACTACCATTTTTAAGTTATGTGCCTTTTAACCAGAACTGCTTCCCTGGCTGAACTAATATAATGATTTGTTTAATTAAGTAATGTTTACTCAAACTGAGCATGACAGTGTTTGCATTTAAGAACAGGCAAGTCAACTCAAAATTAAATGGGACCGTATGCCCATATGGCTACTTCAAATGTGAAAGCATTTGATTTGTGCAATTATACCTATTAAACAGTGTTGAGAACTAGGAAATTAGTGTTGTTGTTTTTTTCTTCTTTAATATAGGTCAGGGGTCGCCAACTGGTGGACTCCAGTCCGAATTCGGACCGAGAGATGCGTCTATGCGGACTGTGAAGGTTTTTGACAATGAAATAAATGAATACCAAACGCTAATTTCTAATAAATAAAATTTATATCAAACACATCAAGGTCAGCTCAGTAGAGCCGTTTGGGTGCAGTCGTGCATGCAGTGATGAGAGCAGAGAACGGTGTGCTGCGCGCAGAGAGATTACATGGTTCATTACTGGTCCTCAAGCCGTTTTAGTTGAAGACCCCTGATCTAGGTATTACATGAATTAAATTAAAATTAAATTAGAATTAAAACCCAACTTTACCATACCATTGTTTTCAGAGACATTTCTTTCAGTGTTTGGTCCTTCAGATGTGTCCTTCGGGCACGGTTTCCTCCTTTTCAAAGGCTCTGTGGATATGGATCGGCATATCATTGTTTTACAATGCTTTGTCTACATAGAAATATTATGCATACTTATGCATAAACCACTGGGCAATACTGCAGCTGTAAGATAAATGGCTGAATGGCAACTCCACAACAATAGTCTATTGATGCTTTCCCCGCCATTGACAAGCTAACTCGTATTGTATGAGAAAACGCTTCCCGCCAAAGACGGGTTAGCCTATTACTGGTTACTGTGTTGTAGGTATATTATGGTAAGCGAAACCCTTCCGCATCTCCACTAAACATTCGAGACAACATACACACTGAAAG